TAGGACTTTAATTTATCATAATCTATATTTGAGTAATATAACATATCACATAATTATAAGAATACTGTACATAATATAGTAGAATTTGTCATCGTCTAGCCTTTGTACTTACAAGACACTTTCTCTATTTATTGGAAATCTCACAAAATATTGTTTTTATATTTAATCCATCCATTATCATGTATAGAGATTTATCAAACAAAAAGTATTTTATATTTCCCCACATTTGTTGATTCTAGTGTTTTTTTATTCCCAATGTCATAATTTTCTTTTTGTTTGAGGGTTTTATTCAGGGTTTTTTTCTGATAAAGGTGAGTGGGTGATTATTTCAGCTGTTGTATGTCTGAAAACAGGTTCTTATTTTTCCTTTATTATTAAAAGGTACTTTTACCAAAGATAAAGCTCTAAATTGGCAGGTTTGTCTGCTCCCCTTTTAGTATTGGAAAGATGTTGCCTTCCTGTTTTCTGACTTGTATTGTTTTCTATTACTCTATATGTAATGTTTTGTGTGTGTGGGTGTGTGTGTGGGGGTGTATTTTGGCTCCTTTTAAGAGTTTCCTTTTACCATTTTTCATAAGCCATTTGATTTTACACCATGGCCTAATGTAGTTTCTACATGTTTTCTTTACATATTTTTGTAATAGCTTCTTTATAAGTCCATTATTTTATCAAATTTGTAAAATTTTTATCCATATTCACTTAAACATATTTTCCTTTTTACCCTACTTCTTTCTTCTCCTTAAGGTACTTGAATTTGATCTATACAAGGTTGCTTGAAGTAAAACAGCTCACTGTTTTATTTTCATAGTTTTTACCTGTGGTTGATAACTACACCCAAGCTTCAGTTTCAGAAAAATATCACAGTTGCAACACAATTTATGACCAGAGACATAATAATATCTAAAATGTTCCAAATATTCTTTATGCAGCAAGTATAGTATATTTGTAGATATTTAGGGGTTACAAACTTTAATCAGAAAAACTATACCATAAACTCACTTATACATAGGCATACAATATCTGAAATGTATATTAGCCAACAGACTGCAATATCTCCTAAAATTATCCCTCTTTGCCAAGTGTAATTTATTCTAAACATGCAGATGATTTAATATTTAGAAATCAGTTAATATAGATACCATATTAATAAGGTTGAGAAGAAAAGATCTCATGATCAGCCCAACTGAATTTGCAAAGGACTCAACACTTATTTCTGTTTAAAATCACCCAATAAATTAGAAATTGAAATTTAATTTAAAAATATTAAAATATTCATACTTAAGACCAAAAACCTTAATATTATTTAATAGAAAGATGTTAGAGACAGTCTTATGAAGTCACAACTGCCTATTTCATCCTCTATCATTGATTAAATGCATTAGTTAATACAATTAAAGGCAAGAAAGTAGCCACTATGCGTTAGAAAAATTGAGTAAAATTATCTCTATATTTGCAAATTATGTATTGATTACCTGGAAATCCATGACATTATCCAACATGACTTTTTGAAATTAGAAAAGTGGTATAGGAAATTCTCGGTAAAGGATAACATGCAACACTGAGATATATATAAAATGAGAAGTAGATGGAGAACAGTTAAGGACACCATCTGCAAATGGGACTGTTTTGAAATTATAACTAAGCAATCTTATTCTTAGAGAGATGTAATTTGAACCTGATTAGTAACGGTTTTCCATTTAATTTAAGTATGGTGCATTTAAGACAAGTCAGTCAGTAGTACTGCCTCAAATCAGGCTTTAATAAAATTAATTGGGAAAAGAAAAATTGATTTTTATGTATAAGCATCTCCTTTCAAAGGAGAGGGTTCATATTTTAGGAGCAGATTAAAATGCATCTGGAATCAGAATGTATATGTAAATGCCCTGTTAAAAAAGATGATCTGAAAAATATTATCAAAGGTTCTTTGCTTCCCGGAGACTTTGAAGTTTCTTAAGTAGGCAGGGTTTTGAGCTGTCATTTTAGCCCACTTTGGACATTTAACTTTGGTAATAAATGGTGTCTGTAGTCATACACACTAAACATTTCTTTGATTTAAAGAGTATTTGAAAAAGTTTCCTGTCTTTTAAAGAAAAAAAATAAATGCTACAGGTTATGAAACTGCAGTTTTCCTTCTTTTTCTTTCATGTAGCATACCCTTAGACGGTCCAAATACAGTCACTTGGACATAAGTCCAAAGGAATTACATAACCTTGTAGATGAAAAATTTTGCTTCCTCTAAAACATTATAAAATAGATACAGAAAACATACACGTACACAAAAATATAAAATACTAGAATTTCTTATCCTTTCATAAGATTAATATAGTGATGATTTTTGGAACACAGATTGAGAAAGGTGCACTCAAATTTTAAATATTTAATAATGTTTATTTCAAAAGTATAATTTAATAATGAAGAAATCATCTCTAACTCCTTTTATTGCTCAGACTCAGTTTTAAGGATTGAATTAATAATGAAGGTATCTGCCATTTTTTGGCAAATAGGTTTATTTAGTCAGGAGAGTAAGAATTGTTTAAATTCTTGATGTATTTGCATTCAAAATTACTTCCTGAACATAATATATTGGTCTGACCTTTTGTCTACTTTTCCAAAATGAAAAATGTCATATCAGTTTTATGAAGAAAAATGATACCTGCTATATTATTTTCCATACAAATCTGAAGAGAAAATAACTTTAACAGATCCCTTGTTGGTGTATGTTATTTTAAAAAAATATTTACTATTTTTCATCAATTAAAAAAATGAAATGAAAATATAATGTGAAATCATGTATCAATTCATCAACTATATAAAATCATAAAAACAGTTCAGATCCAGTGATCCCACTACTGGGTATGTATCTAACAGATAGGCAGGGTATATATCCAAAAGAAAGGAAATCAGTATATTAAAGAGATACCTGCACTGCCACGTTCATTGCAGCACTATTCACAATAGCCAGTAAACTGAATCAACTTAAATATTCGATCAACAGATGAATAAAGAAAATATTGTACATATACACAGTCTAATATTAGTCAGCCTTATAAAAATGAAGTTCTGTTGTTTGAAACAACATGGATGGCATTGGAGAATGTTATGTTAATTGAATAAACCAGGCACGGAAATATGAATATTGCATATTCTCACTTAGGAGCTCAGAAAATGAATTTCAAGAAGAGAGAAAATAGAATGGTGGTTACCAGAGGCTGGGAAGATAGCAAGGGAAGGAAAGTAAATTGCCATGCTTAAAGGGTACAATAATTTGGTTAGCTAGAAGAAATGAGATCTAGTGTTCAGTAGCACAATAAGGCAACTACAGTTAATCAGTATTTCTGTATTTCAAAAGATCTGTAAGAGAGGAGTCAGAATGTTCTTAAGATAAATTATATTTAAGGTAATAGATAATTATCTTGATCATTACACATTGTATGTCTGTATCAAAATGTATACACCCCATAAACATGCACAAATACTATGTATCAATAAAAATTAAAGATTGAAAAAGAAACAAACATCATGAAAGAATTAAAGCTCCAATATTCCATTTATTAACCTATTTTCCAAATATTTTATTCAAAGAAAATTACAGTCTAAATTTGAATATTCAAATGCATTTTTTATTACTTTGACTATATTTCTATTCTTATAGTATATTTAATATTGTTTGTACAGTTTTGAACTATATATTACATTTTTAAAATGTGTGGGTGAAATATATGACAGCTAAGGAATCACTGCAAAGTTTAATGATTGAGCAAAATATTATTTTTTCTTAATTATATCCTTTTGTTTACATTTTTTAACTTGCATGTAGTTTTACTAAAATCTTTTCCATTTTATATAACATATTATTTATCAAACTCTCTTTGTTTGTTTTTAACTACTGGACTTATATATTTATATTTGCCTACTGTGGTTAATGTGTAAATCAAAGTAATTCGCAGAAGTTTGGAAATGGCACTTCTTGCAAGGTAGCTAGAATTGTTATAAAGCATGCGAATGTGCAACCTCTGTTTGTCAGCATTACCCGGGCATTCATTTTCAGAAATTAAAATCCCAAATTCCATCCAATGAAATACTGTAGAATTTAAAATTCTGCTGATATGGAAGATTTTTATATCGTTCAGTACCCAAGAGCAATTAAAAAGATAATGCATGTAATATGAGTCTGTTATCGTTTTCCTAAAATTGCTTCTACCTTTGTTTTAATGAGCTATCTTTTCTATCATAGGGTGTATAAGTGTTAGATACTAATTGTTTTAAGGTTTTTGAAGCAATATGAATACTTACACAACAAAATTGTTATTCAGCTCATCTTATTTGAAAGAAAACTCCACACATCAATTTCAATTATTTCTCTTTTAGCATGGTTTCATCCAGTATCATAGAGAAAAAAAAAAATGGTTGGTACTTGGATTGCACTACTTTGAGCAATTATAACGAAATAGTTTTGACTAATGAATAGATCAATATGAAAACACTACCATTTATATTTTTTGGAATTCTCTGAAATATTGAATATCCACACAAACATTTGAATACTTGATCAAAGAACATGATTAAACACACAAAACAATCTACCCTTTGATAGGTTTAATGAAAAAAATAACAGGTAAAGATTTCTTTAATATTTTTCTTTCCTTTTTCACATAGCCAGCATTTATTCATCCTTCAGTCCTCAGCACAATACTATAACATGGGTAATAATAAACTTTCTGATGCAGACAACTAGTCAGTTTCCTGCAGAATGACAGTTTGGAAAAGTGCCCGTTTGTGATGGAGTTCATAATGTAAGACAGTAAACTAAACTTTTCATAAAGCCGAATGACATCACTTTAAATGAATTTTTAAATATATGGAGCATATCACCTTTTTACTTTTTGTTGTTGCTTATGTTTTATAGTAGATACTAATGGTAGCAAATTTTATTTTTTTATTATTATTGGTTTTTAAACTTATTTTTCCTTTTCTTTCTTCTTCTTTTTTTGTTTTCCTAGATGGAGCCTGCAACATACGCCTCCTGGGTTCAAATTATTCTCCTGCCTCAGCCACTGGAGTAGCTGGAACTACAGGTGCGAGCCACTAATCTGGGCTAATTTTGGTAGTTTTAGTAGAGGCAGGGTTTCACTATGTTGACCAGGCTGGTCCTGAACTCCTGGCCTCAAGCATTTGGCCCACTCCAACCTTCCGAAAGGCTGGGATTACAGGTGTGAATCACCACATCAGGTAATGATATTTTATTTTCATATTTCAATGTGATGTTTGGACAATATATTAAAGAAAAGTTTGAAGATATAAAAGTAACTGAGAGGAAGCATGTTTCCATACCAATAACCCTTTATTTGAGAGACTGAGAATGATTGAATGTAAAAATGTATGTACACATAGCTGATGACTACAAAGAGCAAAAATATGAATCAAACGTTCATTTCAAGGCAAAATATAATACCTTTTGCTCCACCAATGTCTATTTTTTAAAATCCCTCATAGGTTGCTGGCAAGTGGTACACGTCTGTGTCAGCACATGCTCCCCCTTTTCATCTTCTTCTTGTTCCCAAAGATGCCGTGTTCTCCTGAGAATGTCGTGTTATGTTTGCTCTGTAGTCACAGCAGTTCCACCCTCACATTTTTCAGCTCCACCTATCAATAAGCTTTCTTTCAAGAGTCCAACAAATGATGTAGCCTGGTACCAAGTGGCTAACATTGGTCATAAACTTGCTTCTGATTTACCTGAGGTGGGAAAATTTAGGCGGTGAGTCCATCCAGTGCCCTTAAGTGTTGGGATCCACACTAACCAGGCCACAAGGGAGGGAAGCTCCTCAAAGAACATTTAAAACATGTATTCTAGATCCAAGGAATTATCAGAGAGCAAAACCAACCCACCAACAAACAAAACGTTTCTTCCTCTAGAGAATTTGCCTAAATTATTGGGATAATTTAGGTGAATACTATGAAACAAATAACATTTAGAGTGTGTTGTATGTTAGAAAGTAAAAAAACTCAAGATACTAAAGATCAGGGGTTCAAGGTAAGTATAATTTAAGCAGAAACGTTTGAAATAAGTCCAGTCGAAAAGCAGATATTTAAATGAAAACATGAAGGCAGTGATCAAGGCAGCAGTGCATATATCCAGGGAAAGACAATCCCAGGCAGAAAGCACAGTTGGTGCAAAATGTGTTCACTGTAAGAACTACAGGTTTTAATTGAGAGAAAGGAGAAAACATGAGAATTTTTTATTACAGAAATTATAAGATCATGTTTTAGCTTTGAAAAATTAATCTGGGTGTAGATTTTGTTGAAAATGGATATAAATGAGCAGAGGTGGAAACAGAGAGACAAATGTTGAGTCGCTTGCAGGAATCCTACAAAAATTGATGGTAGCTTGAAACAGAGTGAAATGATGAAGATAATGAGAAGTGGTTAGCTTGTTCATATATTTAAATGTAAGCTGAATAAGATCTTCTTGTGGACCAAATGTCAGGTGAAGTAAAAGGAGAAAGGAGGCAACAATAACTCCAAGGCATTTTGCCTGAGAAAATGAAAAGATGAACTTACCATTAGTTGATATTTTAAAAAGAAAATATGTAATTCTGAACAAGTTTTCTCTGGAAATTCAGGAATTAAATTTAGGACATGAAACTGTCAAGATGTCTGCTACAAGTGCTGTGTAGTGATGACACTTAGCTTGAATATATATAATTGACATTCCAGGGATATATTTAGAGTGAAGATATAAATTTGGAAGGAGTGAAGATACATATTTTATTAAACATTTGATAATGCATGAGATCTTTAAGGAAGTCTGTGTAGAATGAGAATGTAAAGGAAAGAGGAAAATACAATTTTCAAGGAATGAGTTGTGGGGCACTGGGAGGTGGGGAAGAAGAGGAAGATTTGCCAAAAGAGAATGTAAATAAATGTTTTCAAAATTCAGTTGGAGGAAAATTAGATGATTGTGATATCCTGAAGGCCAAATGAAAATGTATTGAATTCCTATGATATAACAAGTAATATGAATACATTTAAATGACAATTCAGTTTAGCAAAGTGGAGACCATTTGTAATTTACAAAATACTTTTGCTAAAGTGATGAGATTCTCATATATGCGTGTATGAGAATATATGTGTGAGTATATGCTGATAGCAATCTTTTAGTCGAGTGAGAAACATTTTGAAATGTGTCAAGCAAGAGAAGGGAAAATTTCTAGAACAGTGTCTGTAATGAAAAAGAAGTAATGGCATCTAGCACATAAGAAGGAGGACTGAAATTAAATGGAATGAGGGATAATTCATGTAAATCTAAAGAAACGGTAAAACGTGGATCAAAAAGGTTAGTACATGGACAATGGGAACATATAGAAGTTTTTTTTTAATTGCTTCAAGTGTCTTGGTGAGTAAATTTACTAAATATTGTAGAAAAAAAGAATTAAATTGTCTCATCTTGACAAATGGTTGTGTAAACGGAGTAGGAAAAAATATATCCTGGAGGGATTATGCACCATGGAAAGTTAGTGGTTACGAATTATTAGTGAAGGCCATAATGCAAATCTCTTTCTTTTAACTGTTCTTGGAAAAACACAATATTCTAGATGCGATTTGTCACATAATAAAAAAGAAAATGAAAGCAATTCAAACAAAAGTATCAATTAAATATTTTTAAATTTTGAAACCATTAGTATTTTTCATGTTTTACCCAGTTCATTATAATCATATCTGTAGCACTGTTCAGACAGGTCAGGAATGGTTGAAGTAGCTTTAGTATTATTTCTTATTTTTATTTATAAGTTTTCAATAAGGAAACTTACTTTAATGTAAGTAATTATAACACCTAGTATTGAATATCAGAATTAAAGTCAACTAAATTATTTGTCATGTTAAAGAAGTCAGTTCATGCCATGTTAAACTAGACACTCATTCCGTTTATGAGAATCCAGGTCCAGGTACACGACCTCAACCTAACTGCAAAGGAGGCTTGAGAATACAAACGCTTTTGCTGAGCACCTAGTGAGTTTGCTATTTTCAGCCCATGCCCCTTACCACAATGGATGCCTCCTTTGGCATTTTAATAAAAATAATTTCTATATTACTTATATTACTTTTCATTTGAAAAGTGAACTCTGAAGTTAATCATTACATTATAGAAAATCCTATTTTACATTATGGAAAACCCATGTATTTCTAAAACAAGAATCAGTAATTCTAGATTGTCTATACTTAAAAATAAATACTGACCAAGATGACCTTAACATTTCCATCAGCTTGACTAGACTTTAGCCAGACTTGGCCCCTGACCACCCTCTCACTGTAGGTAGCCCTTACAGAATCCATATAACCTAATTGTAGACACCCATTCTCTCCCTTTTCCTGAATCATTTACTTAAAAAAAAAAAAAATTATAACAGTGAATTATTTCTCTGACCCATTGAGTTCCAAATTTTTCAAAAACCCCTTTGCCAGTTTTATAAGGCAAGACTATTTTCCCCCAGATCCTAAGGGATCTTGAAATGAAATCAAGAAAGTTAGCACCTCATCCCCCAGTCTCCACACAACTTCAGTGGCTACCTTGCTTCTGCTGGGGAGGCAGGACAGAGTTTGCCTTTTTTTTAAGTCCGATTAGCAAACACAGAAGGCCTAAGATGGTCCCAACTCTGCTTTTAAAAATTCTGCCCTTTGTTTTAGCTGAGTTAACTTCAGACTGTGTCATCTGCTTTCTCACTGCCTTGAATTCAGTTTTCCTTTTCTGTTTAGTTTGCCTCTTGTTTTTTATTTGACATCACCTAGTATCATTTGATTTTGTGACATGACAGTTTCAGGAAAGAACTATAGGATGGAAAATACAGATGAATAATGCAAATTCAGAAATAAAATATGTTCTAATAGGTTTCTCTTTGTTTTCTGCAAAATGTTCTTAAGTGAGTGTACATTCGGATACATTTTAACTAGATACAGTAGCTTAAAAAGGTTGAACTCATAAAAATTTTTCTTTTCCTCACTATGACTGAACTAGAATTATGTTCATTTAAATACTTCTGATTTAACTCATAATTACTGGTATTTTCCATGGATGTAAATCAAATATCTTGTACTAAAAATCAATAATAGCAGTTTTAAAATCATTTTCTATTAGCAAGATTCTGCCTCCAGAAAAAGACTTAGCCCACAATTTGAAACTTCATAATAACATGAAAACAGTTCAGAATTACTGTAATTTAGAATTTAACTTACATTCAGGTTGAAATGGGAAAAAAATAAATCCCTATATGAAATTGTTCTCAGTGTCTGTGTTTTGAAGCATCTTTTCAAAATATAAGATCAACATTGCTATTCTAGTCACAGCAAAGCATTTTCCAAAATGTCATATTGAACTCATTACTGGGAGAATGACAAGCCTTTCTAATGTGATTGTTCTTTCCTCATAATAAAGGCAAAAATTGCCAGTGCTTGTGAACTTAAAATAAGATGTGATTGGAGTCAGATGAATTAGTTCTTATGAATATGCATTTCAAATGGTTATATTTAAAATATATACGTGAGTATGCTTTAGTCCCCATTTTAACCTGTACTTAGTAGACTACATTTTTACTTTGAATTCTTTGTATTAACTTTCTTGAAATCCAAGCTACTTCAGAGTTACATTTTTAAAAGGCTGACATAATGTTATGAATGAAAATTTTTTGCCTCTCTTTTTAGTCTTTGCTATTTAATTTTATCATAACTGCACTTTGATCATATTTTATTATCATTGTAATCATACCTTCAGCGTGCTCTCTGTCATTCTGAATCATATTTCCTTGGTTCGATTTTAGAATAGAATGGTGATTTTCCCTTTTATGAAATGTTTGGTAGAAAACAAAATGAATGGCTACTTCTGGAAACATATGAAGCATGTAAAACAGAACTACACATTTTTTAAAGTAAATTATAATGTGCAATGTTCAATGTGATATGCTATCATATTTCATCTGTACCTACAACTGTTGTGCTTAGGGTATAGTAACAATTTTCTCATAACACATTATGCTATTAATATATATGGGAAGATTTAGGCAAATGATATAAAACATTTTTAAGT